GTCAGCATCGTCAGATCTTCTGATCTTCCTCGACAGCTTCGTAAAGGTGAGTAGATCACAGAATCTAGAAATGCAGCTGATTAAAAAGGAAATGTTGTGAGACTTAACATTCAGCAGTGAATATGAGATTTAATACCTGATAGATATATAGTTATATTTATGAATGAGATTTTTGGGGTTTCAGCCATGGAAACACACACACACACACACACACACACACACACACACACACACACACACACACACACACAATTAACCTGTTTATTTGAAACACATATTACTTACATTTCTCAACATTTTTGCACACACAAGGTATAAAGAGCTTATAAAATATGATGCTAAACTACCCAACAGTTTATACAAGTACAGCTCAAACAATTATTTGATTGTTATTGGACTGTTGGATGGACAAAACAAACATTGTGAAGACAACAACAAAAAATCAATGCATTGAAAATAATCAGCAGATTGTTGTAATCCTATACTAAACAGCTCAAAATGAGCTCCACCTCAACCAGCTACAATAGCTAATATAATAGTACAACTTACAGTGTGATATTAGTACATTTATGTAAGTAAAGAGGCTGAATACTTCCTCCGTCGCTGTGTGAAGGAAAATATGAGCATGTGAGAGAAGAATGAATTACACGCAGCTCATAGAAAGATCCTCTTAACACTGTCCTTCACCGTTTCTTTTCTATTCTTTTCTCTTTCTATTGACTATTTGTAAAATTAAATCTGATCTCATTTCCACTGGACTTTTAACTTCCTCAGGCACTCACAGACACAAAAATGAGCAAACTGGAGTCCGCGATGGAAACCCTCATCGATGTGTTTAAATACTATTCTTCAAAAGAGGGCGACAAGTTCCAGCTGAACAGATCGGAGCTGAAGAATCTGCTGCAAGGAGAGCTTGGAGAGTATCTGGAGGTATACTGATTGACTGTACTGTTACCAGTCTGTGTCACAACCTCTTAACGCATTCAAGAATTATGATGTGAAAAATTACATGATTAGTTATTGGGTTCTTTCCTTTATGTTTGTGTTCCAGGTCAGCAAGGACCCAGCATTGGTGAATGAGATCATGTCTGAACTGGACAGGAATAAGGACTGCGCAGTGAGCTTTGAGGAGTTTCTTGTTCTGGTGACTAAGCTGACTGTGTGCGGAGCCGGCTTCTTTCAAGGCTACTGCTCTACTGTGGTTATCACATGTGCCCATAGGTAAAGACGGGCAATTTTACACACTGTGAATGTCAAACAGTAACAGCTTTTATCTTTTAATTACATTTGGATATCTGTGATTTTAATTCAAGTTACAGTCTCAAAAGCTCCATGCTGGAGTTCCTCTGTTCTGATGTGAAACTGTTCTCTTAAAATGTCACTAATTTCTCTCTGAATATTAAAGATGAATATATCTGACAATTTCTGCTGCATTCTGTGTCAAATCTCCAGCTTGCCTTCAAAATGGTCATATTTGTATTTGGAGGGTGTACTTTAATACGTTTATATGCTTCAACATTCAAAAAACACATTCTTTTTCTCATAGTGGCCATTGCTGCAGCACCTCTGTTCACCCTTTGTCTGACACACTTTCTTGTCCGTGTAGATTCAGTAGGTCTGAGTGGGCGGGACTGGATTGTCACTGAGCCTAGAGGTGGTGCCTGTTACAATGTGGCGTAATAACATAAAGGCAGAAAGGCTGAATACAAACAAGGCACATCGGCTAGTGCAGGAGCAGTGTTTTATGTGGGAGACAGTAACTGTCTCTGGGGTTGACTTTGGGTTTCGTCACTTTTGACATTTTACATGCACAAAAAAACTATTAGGGTTTGTATTGTTATATTATTGTAAAGTTTGTGTCTGGAAACTTGTTGTGGAGTTCATTTATAAGAAACAATCTGATATAATTTATATAGTTGCTATGACAGTTACCTATTCACACATCTAGCAGACACAGAGCAACAATAGCATTGAACAGAAGTCTTAAATCCAATATTCTCTGGTTTCCACCAACTCCTGAGAAATATATTTACATATATTTACATTGGACACATCAACTTTATAAGACAATAATATGTCAGGGCCAGCGGCTGAAAGTAAAGTACATTTAACTATTGTGCTGAAGTTCAACATTTCTATTTTATCCTAATTTATATTGTACCATTTGGGACATTTTGACTTTTTACTCCATTATGTTTATCTGACAGACATATACTTTGCATATTTAGATAAACCAATAGTTAGGATTTAAGATGCAATGTTGATTAAACATTGCATTAAACTACTAAATATAAAACAGATATTATTATTATTATTATTATTATTATCCACATGAATGAATCAGTAATAACAATGGTTCTGTCTGACAGCTTGCTTTGGAGCTCTGCTGCCCCCTCGTGGCCAAATTATATATATTTAAACTTTGATTATCTGGGATATTGACACAAGAAAATAATCTTTGCTGTGTTAAAATCTACGTACAACAGCTTTGCCTCAGTCCATATTCTCCATCAGCTGAAAAAAACAACACACTTTGGACATATTTTTTACAGTTTCACAAGAAAATAAGTCCTCAAGCCTGTGCAACCAGAATAAAAAGAATCGTTTTTATTCATTCTTTTGAGTTACAGATGCAGTAAAGCTGAAAACATGATTGCCCCTTGGTGCTTTATAAAAATGACAGAATTTAAATGAAATAATAAACATGCAAAACCACAGAAAACTAAACTGTTGGTATATGCAGAAACTGAACCATGCCATGAAAACAAAAAACAAACATGAGTGCTTCTGTGCCATAATGGATGTTAACCGGGGAATGATGTTAACAAGACATGAGGTTATAAAAACTACTGTACAGATTTGCTGTATTTCAACTTTTAAAGGAAGCACCACCGAGAGTCCATGTTGGTACAGGAGTTTCTTTGTCACGGTGAAGCTGAAAATCCACTGCAGGCAGGCCAGATTCATTTAATATCTCTAAAAACAGAGGCTAATATCAAAATAAGACTTAGGGTTCTTTGCGTTGTTTAAAAGAGAACTAGACTTTATCCACGAGCCTTCAGAGCCACCAGCACAAAGTTTCTTGGAGAGAAGTTTGGGTCGAAGAGAGGAACCAGCTGACTGTCCACGCCTGCAGAAAGATGAGTCTTTAGTACAGAGAGTGTAACGGCACTTTATTTAAGATTCTAACAGAAATATCCACCGGCTCACCGTTCTCCTGCAGGTAGATCATCCTGTCCAGCAGCACCAGCGTCTCCACCACAGGAGCCAGCAGCAGGGCCAGGCTGAAGTACACCACCACCCTGCCCTGCTGCTTCAACATAGCCGCCACCCGCTCCGGGTCCAGAGGCAACCCGGGAGGCAGGCCGACCCGAGCCAGACCCAGACGGGCGTACCTGAGAGGGAGCATGACAAGAACATTACCGCTACTTCTTATTTGGCCTGGCTAAGTTATATTGCCTTCTCAGTATCCTCTTTCTGCTTTGTCTGCCGAAGATTTGATTTCAACATGGAGGACTCTGAGGAAGGCGATCGCACCATCTGTACATAACAAACTTTGAGGTAACAAGAAGAAACAACAATTCTTATTTTTCAGGTGATTATACATTAATGAATGTTATATCCTTTTTCTGCCATCTCGGAGAAGACGGACTGTTATTGGCTGAAAAGAAAGACATGGAATCCATCATACAGCTTCATGAGGCTTTAGTGTTGACTCACTCTGTAAATGGTAATAAATGGGCTTTCTTTATGGTCTGGATTCCGGCCCTGCGCAGATCCGGCCTCGTATCCCTGATGAAAGTCTCCAGCGTCGCCCGGTAACAGTGCGTCCTCAGCTGCTCGTTTTCCTCCCGAAGCCTCCGTACATAGTCCTCGACAGCATGACACGCCCCCTCCCGCGCCTTATAGGACAGCTGATGTCCCGGCAACCCCCGCACCCAGGCGCTCATGGGGTATCCAAACTCCGAGGGAAGTGATTCCTGCCGTGGTGTCGGTGGGACGGGACATTCTACCAGTCCTGGAGGGGTGGGATTTTCTTTGGTTGTGATTTTCATGTAGCAGCACGCCACAGAGGTGATGCCGCGTACATGCGGGCAGTTGACAAAGTGGCGGAGGAGGGTGGCGCTGAGGTCGCCGCAGGCGTGGAGGCCGGTCAGGATAAAGTCTGGATAGCCTCGCTGGCTGTTCTCCTCAGGACGGACACACGAGCAGCAGTGTTCAGCAGATGACTCCTCTTCAGACCCGTTCTTGCTGAACTGGCGTTGAGACGTCAGATCAAAGTCCTGTGAGTGAGACGATGAAGTCTGGATCACTTGAGAACAATCCCGATGCTCAGAGCCCCGAAGTCTCTTTTTGTAGGGTCCAGATGGAGTTGGGGGACCATCGTTGACGCAATCTGGAGTCCTCAGCTGCTTGATGAAGGCTTCCCATGATGCCTTGGGGTTTACCCAACCGGCCACATGGCGGGGGGAGGACTGTGATACTGGGACCAGAGAGGAGCCGTTCTAGGAAGAAGATGCTTATTAATTTTGGTGAAAAACTGGAATTGAAGAAAACGGGAAGTTCAGCAAAGCACCGACCTTTTTCTGCCTCTCCTTCTCTAAGGCCCACAGTAACTGTCCGTCAAACTTGGACGCCATAGCAACCAGGTTATGATCAGCCTCAATTGCGGTCACAGACAGCCCGAGCCCGAAGGACAGGAAACGAGTCAGATGACCCTGTTCAGAGCAGAGTGGTGGAAAACTCATCGGTATCTTTTTCTGTCAAAAGACACAATGACTCCAAATTGGAGTTTAGTTATTCTTAATTATCTGCCAACGGGTCGGATTTATTTGGTCCCCCCCGAAACCAATGAAAGGTAAAACAATACCGCGTTTGTCCACAGGGGGTCGCCAGAATCAACAAATCATTTAAATTCTTTATAGAGGCTTTAACATCACCTTACCTTAATCATTTATCAGTCAATGAACCACAATCTCTCTAAGCATTGGCACTGAACTGAACAGTGTTGGAATGGTACCTGTCCGGAGCCCACATCCACCACGCTGCTGCAGTCAGTCTGCTCACAAAGTTGTTTTACCAGCTGGGATTCAAAAATAAATAAAAAAAAACAGGTTAAAAACAGAAAGAATATTCTTAAATTCAACTTTAACTGTAGTAAATAAGCAATCCTGTACCACGCCCAGCTTGCGGATCTCGTGCTGTTTCTTGGGCTTGACGTGTTTCCTGAATATGTGCCCCAGCAGTGAGCTCTGACTTTGGTTTTCCAGGAACTCCTCAGGCTTCGCTGAGTCGGCCACCCTGCCTCGCTCCCGCCTGCACTCCCTGGGAAACGCCAGAGCGTGAGCTGTGGCACGGAACGCCAAGAGTGACAGAGGCCACACCGAAGGATATCTGTAACAAAAACATCAGACTGACGTTCTGGTTAGATCATAAGGCTCTGTCAGTGACTCCCACAAACTACTGACATTAACAGAAAATGATCCGGCCATGCTTTTAGATACATTACATCAGTTATTAATCATTTCAGAATGGTTGGGCTCGGTGGGATCTATCTTTTTATTCAGTATAGATTGAAGGACAGCCTGGGTTCTCATAGAAACTGCCTGTCATAAAGGTCCGGTTTGTAGGATGTCATATCGCTGTGTAGCTGCAGACTGAAACCCTGAAAGTCTTCTCACTCTTTTGTACTTTGCATTAAGGATTTGGTCAGAATACAATCCAGTAGTACCTCCTGTCTTCCTGTTTAGCATCCAGTAAAAGGTCTGCAATCTGTGGATATGACAGGTCCTGCAGCACAGGCTGCCAGCTGCTGGGTAATGTGTGCCAGAGGTCTTCAGTGAAGAACTCCTGCAGGGGAACAGCGCACGGATGGGATGTGAGTCCAGTGGTCAGCTTCAATCTTGCACACAAACGTACACGTGGACACAAACTCTCGATACAAATGTAAACAACCAGCATTATGCATTGTTTGCGATGACATTTTGTTGCCAAGGTAACGTGATTTAAACAAATCTCTGTGTCTAAATAAACAGGAAGCGGTTCTCATAACTCACAATAATAAAGGAGTCTGAGAGGCGGCTGTACTGGGACAGGAACGTGGTGAGTCTCTCGGACAGCTGTCTGTCTCTCTGCTGTCTGTCTCTCTGCTGTCTGTCTCTCTGCGGCTCTGCAGACAGGCTCGGTGTCTCCACATGTTGCTGTGCTGCGGACGGTTTCACTGACATGGGACTAACGTGACTGCTAACACAAGTTAGCCTGTTAACGCTGCGTTCACTGTCCACTTGAGGCGGAGTGTCTCTGAAATACACAGAAACGTCCTCAGAGACTGTTTCTGTCCCTCCGAGCTGCTCTGGATGTCTTCAGCCTCGAGCTAACGTTAGCTCACCGTGTCACAGGTAGAGGGGCGATGCGTTCATGTGCCTTCCGTAAAGTCCACCTTCAAAGGTCGGTTGCGTTTAAATGACTACCTAACTTAGTTGCATTAAATCAGCTCCTTCAGAGAAAGTCAGAAATCATCGAGCTAAAATGACTTCTGTGGATGTGTTGGGGAGGTTTTTTTGTTGTAGTTGCGAGTGAATATAAGGAATAAAATGCAGAAAGGATGTGTTATTTGGGCTGTTACTGAATTGTTAAGCACGTCGGTTTTCAAATGCATTGTGATAGTCCTCAATAGACGTTATTGATCTAGAAATTGGCGTTATAATAGACTAAGCTGGTCATGTGGAGCTTTGTGTCTACCTCCATCAGACTCATTAATGCCTAACCTGGCCTGGGATCCTCACCCAGTGTGTTATGTATTTATAGACATTAGGCACACCTAACCTCACTGGTGGCATTTCAAATATATATATTTTTAACATTTTAAACCCATCATTTTAAACAATACAAATACATATGTTTGTTTCCAGCTCTCTGGTTATGTGTTGTGTTTGCACGGATGCCTATACACAAATTTAAGTTCCTAATGAATAAATAATGTTATTTCTAATTTGAATTTGAATATGTAATCAAGTTAAACAAAAAAAAAATCATAACTTTCAGTAACTAATGCCTCTAATACCAGGTAGTGTCACAGCAACTCTAAGTGTCTACTTTCCTAGCTGTACGCGAACGCAGCATGACCCGGATATCGATCGTGTGTTGTGAGCAGGAAGACGCGCGCGGTCCTCAGCGTGCAGCAGGTCTGGTTTTTATATTTCATAAAGTTGTTTTCACAGATTTCCGAACAGGGAATCGATCGGTATCAACCTGCCCGCGGTCACAAACACGCGCAGCGGATGTTTCCGTTCAGAGGGAATCGAACCGAATAATCGATAACGCGGGATTGGCTCTGGTAGCCGGCTAACTGTTAGCCTTAATAACGCCGCGTTTCCTCCCGTTGAACTTCCAGTGGCTTTAAATCCCTGATGGTGGGAGATGGAGCCGGTTGTTCAGAGTCATACACATCAGTGTGTGGAAGACTTCCTGAGCAGAAAGGCTCCGATGGGAATATCAGACCGGTTACAGTTCTCAGTATGGTCCCTGGCAGTGGGTCACTGGGATCAGGTGTCCTGGAAAACCTGGAAATTTAGAGACTAGAAAAACTCCTGGAAAAGGATTTGTTAAAACTAGTGGGAAACCTGTATTTTATATCTATATCTATATATCTATCTATATCTATATATATATCTATATATATATTGTTATTGCTTCCTTAAAGCTGCATTTCACAGCTGTAGGTGTTTGAGATCATTTGAACTACTTTATTCTGAGGCTGTATAATAATATGGTAAAAGCACCATATTGACATTATTTTGACACACAGGATTCACGATTAATGTGGGAATTCAATTTTTTTTGCATCACAAATTACATTTTCACAGAGAAAACTGTCTCAGTCTTTAGGATTTTTTGGTAATCTTTTGTGCTGTGTACCAAACAATACAGTATTAATTGTGCAGTCTTACTTTTTACACTGTTACAGCAATGCATCGTATCCTGTAAGATCATCATAGCAGTGTATAATGTATAATGTCCTGGGAGAACTACATATCTCTAAAGAGTCACCTTTATTATGAGCTCAGTAAAAACAGTTGCATGGATTTTAAAGTCTGTTTATGTTTTAAAGTAGGATAATGCTCTCAACCCGTAAAGCGACGCTTCATCCTTCAGTTCATCACAAACATTCACAGGCAATACTTTTACAAATATGGGTTTCACCAGAGAGCGAGGTTATGAAAATGTGTAATCTGAAAGGAACAATATACTGGAGTACTGTAGAAGTATGAAGTCACATAAAATGTAAATACTACCTTTAATCTGTCCTTAAGTAGCCCTTGAGTAAAAGTACATAGTGTAACCACCACTGTATGAAGTTTAATTCATAACCACAGATTTAGGTAGCGGGTTTCCTCCTGTTGCTTGTTGCCCTCAGTGACCCCCTGCTGTTCTTGGTTTAGCTCGCAGGTCGGTGCGCATGTAGAAGTTAGGCATTCAAGTCCAGCGGGTTGAGACTGGGTTCGGTAACGCTGTGTTCCTCTTGCAGGATGATTCATTTGAACCGGTGTCCGCCGACGCCAACCGGACTGCGCAGGGCGAAGACCTGCTGAGGAGGCCTAAACAACTGCTGCGTGTGACACACATCACTTCTGACCTCTGCTGGACTACCGCAACCAATGTCGGACATTTGTGTCGACGTGTTGTTTGATGACACTCCACAGAGGCAAACTCCATCGAACCGGAAGAGGAAGAGAAACAGGGCGCCGCTCAAAAAGAATTCAGAGCAAAGGGGCTCACCGGAAGGTAAACAGGAATACGACCACAGAATGGGTCGGACCAGATATGTTCAAGCTCCACCGCGCCGCAACGGAGCCGTCACAAACCATCCGTCAGCTCCCTCTCACACACACAACAACAGTTTACCTCACTCAAGCAGCAGCTCAGCCGGCACTTCACACCCCAGCGCCAAGCCTTCGACGTCCAACCAGGGACCCGTGAACACCAGCGCCACCCACTGCCCCTCGGCGTCAAGCAGCCATAAACAGACATCAGCAGGAATCCCCGCAAAGTACCTCGCCATCGACTGTGAGATGGTGGGTTCGGGACCAAAGGGGCACATCAGCCAGCTGGCACGCTGCAGCTTGGTGTCCTACGACGGAGACGTGGTTTACGACAAATTCATCAAACCCGCCATGCCTGTTACCGACTTCCGCACCCGATGGAGCGGCATACGGCGCTGCGACCTCGTCAATGCTGTCCCACACTCTGACGCCAGGAAGGAGGTGAGGAGATGATTAAATGAGTGTGTTTTCTCTGTGACATCGGTCTCCTCTCAAACAGAGAGGGATGTAACGTAACTGTGTCAGCTTTTGTTTCCGCTGGGACGATATTCTCAGGATGAGACTCTTCATTCAGGCGCTCTGAGGGGTCGCTGGCACTGCCGTTGGTTGTGATCGATCAAGCAGATGTGTCGAGGACTGAAACTACAGATTGGTTTTTCTTCTCCAGCCGATACGATAACCGATAACTACCTGCTTCTCATGGCTGACACCGATAAGATAACCAATAATTTCACATTTCTGTGTTTTAAAAAGTTCATAATCTGTAATTTTACACACCCGATGGTAAGAAAGGCTAAGATGTGGTGAGCAAAAAGGATGATTTAATATTCTATAGCTCTGACCCAGTCTTTTACGCTATAAATTTCCCATCACAATATCCCAAAAGCACAAGGTGGTATAACGAATTTGCTCATTTTGTCCAGCTTAGATGCCGAAATGCATATAGTCAGCAGAGAAATAGTACAAAAGAAAGTCAAAAAGCGTTCCCACACTCACATAAATGTTGTCTTTGCCCTCTGTGATTCCTGTCGCACAAAAAAAAAAACATCGCAAGTCATCCGATAAAACAGCAAAACATTTTTAAAAACTGTTCACGAAAAATGGGAATCTGTTTGCTGTGTTTCTCTTGTGCTATTGGTTCTTAGTTTGTCCTTCTCTGTTGAACTTTGTGTCTTTATCTGTGTCTTGTGGGACAAACTTTATCATTTTTTATTCAGAATTGTTCTCCACTTGTTAACAAGGCACACAGGGTTCAGCCTGCATGCTGATGCTTCAGCCTTTCAGTGTTCACTGCCAAAATATCAATATGAACTTATACATATGAATCAGGATGAGTGCAAGGTCTTAAGTCTTGGGGAGAAATTTGTATTGTTAATGCTGTAACAACTCCAAACTGAAACCAACGTGGGACCAATACCGATGTTCTTTGCCAGTCAACATGAAAAAGGATTTAAATTGCACCCGTAATGGTCTTAAAAAGGTCTTAAAAAGTCTTAAATGTAACCTGTTGAAACCTGCAGAAACCCTGTGAATGTAATGTGTGTTTGTGTTTGAGTTCTTCATTTACAGGCTGATTTATCACCTGAGTTCTATTAGCCCGAGCGATAGATCGGTCGGCTGACATTATCACACATATTGCTATTGTATGGATATATAATGCAGAAACAAAATGCTTGTGGACATGTTGTGGCGTCACTGTAAAGTTTATCCAGCAGAGTGCGCTGTGAGTTCAAACTGTGGCAAGCACGGAGTAAGAGAGAGGATCCCGCAGAACATTTAACTTAATCCACATAGAAGAGGTGTATTTTCACTCACTATATCAGCCATCGTCTCAGTTTCCCCCCTAAAATTGGCATTGATCTCAAAAATCCCACAATGCCCAGGCTCTAGTATCAACAGTCTATTTACTATAAAAAAGATTTAAAACTGTGGGTTCAGTTTTGTCTTTTAAATAACTGGGAAATGTGTCCATCTGTCACCGACACCAGTTATACGTATGTACACTTCCATTGTGGTAATTTAATGAGAGCCCCTCCTCTGTTGGCAGATCGTGAGGCTGCTCATGGGGAAGGTGGTGATCGGCCACGCCATCCACAACGACTTCAAGGCCCTCGGCTACTCTCACCCCGCTGCCTTGACCAGAGACACGTCTCGGATCCCTCTGCTCAACCAGAAGGCCGGCTTCGCTGCGACCGAGTGCGCCTCGCTGAAGAGACTCACCAAGGCCATCTTCAACCGCGACATCCAGGTAGGAGGAGTACCGCAGTGCAAATGCCCCTACAGCAAGAAGAACCACATACTGAACCTTTCCACCCAAACATCACTGCAGCAGATCTCCGGGTGCCGGGAACACATTTAAATGAACCTGGTGTAGTCTCTTTTCATACACGCACCTCATTAATGAAGCCATAACGAACATTTACATAACGGACACCCTTTACTCCAGAGACCTGAGCCGGCGGTGTTCTCGATTGTATGTCTGAAAAAGGACTTTTGCTTGATGTGAAAATGTCCAGGCCATAAATGTGATATTAATTTGTACTTAGACTCCGTTTGGAACACCCAACAGCTTTAAGTTTATTCCTGAAAAAGGACTAAACAAGTGGCTGAAATCTCAGTCAGTAATGGAGCTTAAAGGGACAGTTCACCCCAAAATCCAAAGTACATATGTTCCCTCTTACCTGTAGTGCTTTTTATCCACCTAGATTGTTTTGGGGTGACTCGCTGAGTTTCGGAGATATCGGCCATCTTTCCAATATAATGGGCAACAAAATTGCATTTAAAAAAAACAACAACTCAACAGCAACGTCTCTCTCCAGAAATCATGACCCGTTAACTAGTTTCACATTCTGCCCAGCACAATCTCGTTGGATAAATAGCACTGCAGGTGAGGGGTTGATTTTGGGGTTGATTTTGGGGTGAACTGTCCCTTTAAAGGAACCCTGTGAGAAAGCTTCAGAGCCAAAGTGTTAATGTCATCGTGATTTAAATGTCTCCAAAGTGACGTCAAACTCGTCCTCTCTTGTGTCCTCAGACGGGGAAGAAGGGCCACTCTTCTGTGGAGGATGCCAGAGCCACTATGGAGCTTTACAAGGTGGTGGAGGAGGAGTGGGAGAAGCATCTGGCCTCCAAATCACAGGCCAGTTAGTGTCTGATTACAGGACACGACATGGAAATAAACTGAGCTTAAACGGACATTTGGTGTGGCCGACTGGTTTCAGGATCAACCCCCCCCCCCTCTGCTGTCTGGTTGATGTGTGAATGTTAATCAGATCTGCAGTCCAGCTGTTCCAGGACAACACTGAGCCCAGAGTGACGCCACTACGGTGTTTGTTCATCTTCTCAACCATTTAAGGATGGAAGACATTTTAAGTCTGACCAAACTGCCACTAAAAGAGTTCTGTCACGTGTCAGCTTTGATTTTTTAACGTTTGAATTGTGTTTAAGTGAATAATTGGGATGAAATACTGCCATATAGTTTGATCAAGCACTGATGTTCTTCCGGGAGGTCGGTACCGAGGTCGTCAGGCCCGCATGAGGCTTTTATGGAATATTTTGTCACTAACCGGTAGCCGTACGGGGCATACTGCTTTTATCATTTCCAGCCACGTTTTAAAATGTGACAAAATGGTTTTTAGTGTAAATGTTGGAAAAGCATAGATCTCTAGAAAGAAGAAGAAGAAAAAAAGTTGTTGGTGAAGAAAAACTAATTTGTGATTTTGTGGCAAAGTCAGGTTGGAAACCTCGTATAACCTCGTAAACCTCTCCATATTGTCTTTTTTTTCATGAATTAATGCTATTGGTTACCCCCAGTGTGAACCTATCGTTACATCACCCGTTGGTTGTTTGTTGAGTACCGCTTTGAAGCCTGGAGTTTGGCGTTATGGTATGTAAATGTTAAGGTAGTCACATTATTATTCAATTATTTCAACTCCTGTTTTCCAGTCAGATTTAAAGCCAAAAAAACCCCTCTTACATCCACCCACATATAGGACATGACCTCTGTGTCCTCAATGGTAGCTACAGCCCCGATGCTCTTCATGTCTCTCCTTGCATGGACGCTGGTCTTAAAATAAAACTTCCACTTGTCACAGCGTTTGATGAAACCGCTGTGTTTCTCTGACCTCTTCCAGTTCATGTAAATCTGCTGTTTTGGGATACAGAAGTGGTTTCTTTCATACAGTTTCCTATGCAACGACAGACGACTTCAGCTGTCTCCTGTACACGTTCAGCTCTTCAATAAATCATTACCACAATCATTTTGAGATATTAGAGTAATTACTGTGATGATAATGTCATTCAGGCACTCCATCCATGTCCACTGTTTATGCTGCTAACCATCTCCATGTCACTACAGAGCTAGGGGATGCACTGGATTGCCAGTTTATTGTATTGAAGGGTGGAGTTCAAGTACCGCAGAGTGACTTTCCGCCACTGATAAACACCTCAGAATAACACACCAGCAGCACAGACCACAGCCTCAGATAGGAACACAGATAATCAACAACAACAACAACATAGCTTAATGCTGCTGTTTGACATAACTTCAAGTCTGTCTTAAGGCATTTATCCATTTTTGACTCTGGGAAAAACAGTAAAATCCCCTAAAACTATTGTATCTCTGTAACTTTTGATAACAAATGTAAGATTTTTTCACTTCCACTGAAACTGTTTGGAGCTCGCTTCAACCTGTGTTTTAAACCACATCCAGCTGTGTTTTAAAAGGCTTTTGCTTTCTGCATGAGAAACCTTTAGAGATCTGTTTTTTCAACTGCCACAGTTACTGTGTCTCAATCTTCATCTCTTGACTTGACCCTTTTCCTCAGAGCTCCTCCACAGCTGCATCCTTGAGTTTGCTCTCCTCAGACCTGACATACAAACATACACTTCTTCCACAGTGCTCCACTTTCTGTATCCTCTAGCAAGCGTTTGTCCTTAAAGGTGAGCGATCAGCACTATTTCCCTGCTGTGAATTCAACACCAGCACATTAATTATACAGCATGCCATCCTTCCTGAAAAAGCCACACCAGACACAACTGCTGGCACGGAGAAGCTCATTAAAGAGGAAGAAACACACCAAACCTCAGAGGCAACGCTCCGCTCTAACACTAGCAATGACTCACCACTTTCTCATTTTAAATCAGGTACGATTGGAAGTGTCAAGGACTTTACAGAAAGTGTTTGTGAATTGTTGGTGTGAGATTAGAGAGTTTCTAGAAAGAAGCAAGCTGTCCTGAGGTAAAGACAAGTCCTGTGTCTGTTCTTTGTCTGCGGAGCGAACAGGCAGCTGAAAACCCCTCAGTATCACCACAGAGGATGCCAAAGCATCTAATGGTCACAGTCTAAGTAGCTGGCAAAGGAGGCAGTGGAATCTCCTCAGCTAGAAATTCTTTAGCTGTGAACTCCACAGTGTTTTAGTTACTCAATAGAAGACAAGAATAAACTGCACAGTAGAAATCTGGAGCCGCAGTTGAAAAGTAGAGTTGGCTTAAGATCATTAAAAGCTTTTGTTAACGTAGAAAGACCAAGTTAATAAAGGCTTTCAGTCTATTGAATTTGCAGCTTCTTCCCTCTGTTTAAGCAGTGTGGTGGTCTGGCTGTTGAATGCAGTACTGTAGTACTAAAGGATCAGTTCATCCAAATCACAAATACAACATTTTATCACTTAAAGAAACACCCTCCATTATAAACCAGCTGCTGCCCGGACACCTCCAACTGCAGAGGTCAGTTATTAAAATGTTTACTGTATTATCATTTAAGACCATGTGTGTAGGATATATTGGCATCTAGCAGTGTAGTTGCTGATTACAACCCCCTCGCCTCACCCTCCAATTCCAAGTGTGTAGGAGAAACTACGGTGGCCACGAAAACACAGAAGACCCTAGAGCCAGCGTTTGGTTCGTCTGTTCTTGGCCAGTGGTTCCCAATCTGGGGGTCTGTGGCCTTTATCTCTGTGATTTGTTTATTTCTGTGAAGAAATTAAATAATTTTTAAAGTTTAGATTGTTATTTAGGATACAAACTTTTAAGACCGTAGCACCATATTCAAAGAGCTTTCACTCTCTGCCAAATAGCCCCATCATGCATTAGAAAAGTATGCAGTTAAATATATAATACAGACTGAGAATTGTATAAAACGTTCTTAAAAATATCAGGAAAACTCGGGGGCCTGGATGGCTCGTGTGGTAGAGCTGGCGCCCCATGTACCGTGGCTGGGTCCTCGCTGCAGCGGCCCAAGGTTTGGGTCCGACCTGCAGCCCTTTGCTGCGCGTCATCCCCTCTCTCTCCCCCCTGTCCCGTTGCTCTTCAGCTTCAGCTGTCGCAATTCATTAAAGGTAATAAAAAAAATAATATACCAAAATATATAAAAACAGCCCAGTGAAACGCAGCGTTACCTGAATAAAATAACAGATTTATCTGGGTTTGAACATTGTTGGAAATATGTGGGATAATGTAAGAACACAACCCAACACACTTTATAACATAGGTCCAGTAGTTTTTAAACATTTTAAAGGACCGGTGTGTAGGATTAACTGCCATCTAGTGTTGAAAGTGAATACCACTTCCCTTCCAAGTGTGTAGGAGAAACTATGGTGGGCACTCAAGGACCTATGTAGAGAAAGTGTTTGGTTTGTCCGTTCTGAGCTACCGTAGAAACATTGTGGTTCAACATGGCGGCCTCCAAAGTGGACCCGCTCCCTCTGTGGATAAAAACATCTCATTCTAAGGTAACAGAAACCAAACATTTCTTACTTTTAGGTGATTATACACTGATGATGAATATTATATTCCATTTCTGCCAATAGATCATCCTAAATAGTACACACTGGTCCTGTCACACCTCTAACACACCTGGCTAAACGCTGAATAAGGTAGACGTGATTGTCAGATTGGCGGTTTCGGAGAGCTACTCCCAGTTCAGCTGCCAGAGAGGGTTTCAGTTGCTGTCCGACGATCAGACACCCTGAAACCTTAAGTCATCATGTGATACCCTTCACTCACCAAGTGACCCTGGACCTCTTCAGATTTTGGGTTTCAGACAAGGTTTAGCAAAAAAATATTGCAAAGCAACATGTGATTTAATCCATTCAGATTATCCCATACTCTTATCCCTCCTAAATCTCCTTGTGCATGGCCAATAATGTGAATAGTTTGATTTTATGCCCTGTTATTAGCTCCATAAGTAAAAGCCAAAGCTTTGAAACCAAAAGAGGCTTTGGATTTTCTTCTGTGGGTGTGTTGAATTTAATATGTTAAAAACAAGATTTTCTCCACCACATTTGAGGCTGAATAACAAATGAAAATGAGAAACATCTTTCAGCTCGCTGATCCTTTTTAAAATTTAGACCTTTTGTTAAATGTACTTCCACATTATTGATTTAAATACTATTCTCGACATTTGAAATGAAAGAAGATTAAGTGTCCACCTGCTGTATTAATAAGGCTCTGAAATACATGAAAGAGCACCTCATTAGGCAATACAATATGGATTTTATGGATTTTATTACCCCCTGGGTGAAGTTATTGGAAGCTAGACTCTGCAGATTACCCTTTCCACACACACACATCACACACTGCACATATTAGTTAGGCCCAGCATCAGCCACATGTGCATAATTCGGTTTTTATTACCCAGTGCCAAGCCATCAGGAATGTGTCCATTTTGCACATTGCCAGGTAACCTTACACATACAGTACATACAGTGAGCACAGTGTGGGTTGGCGGCAGGATCAGCAAGCATGAAGGATCTTACACTGTCATGTATGAAAGCTGCAAACGAGGAAAAAGTCCACCCTGGTCCAGTCTGCAGCTTCTACAGGTGCGATGTAGAAACTTGAAGCCACCAGCTTGAGATGTAAAAATGTTTTTAAAAATAAAAAGCATGAAAGTTATTCTTAGAGGGTCTAAGGATATAGTTTGTATGCTGAACAGATTGTAAAGCCCCTTGAGGCAAATGTGTGATTTGTGATATTGGACTATTTAAATAAAACTGATTTGACTTGTTGCTGTCTACCGCACTCTTGTTCCACTGAAATGCAGAAAACAGAAAATCCCATTAAAACCATTTTTGAAAACAGAACAAGAGGACATCCATTATTATTGCCAGTTTGGCAATAATACATCCTCCACTCCACTCTCATCAGAGCTTCAGCACTTCAGCCCTGAAGAAGATCTTGCAGATAAAAACACTGCATTAACAAAGAGAATAAAAACAATTATTCCGAGCCCCTCAGTGTGCAGACGTTTCCCTCCTTTTTGCCCTGCAGCGATATTACACCTGAATATTTTGTGCACACACTTGGTCCCTCTTCTATAATTTTTTTTTAATTGTATATTTTAAACACAGAATCAAAAATGTAGTAATCCTTGACAATGTAACTAATCTAATTACACATTTTACTAATCTGGGCTGATTATAGTCACTTATTTTTGTAATCTTATTATGTAATCCTGATTACATGTAATCAGTTGCTACCAAATACTGAATGTAACACACACAATTATATATTGAGATATAAATTCTTGTGTGACTTTCTTTGGGTAAACCAACGTGCTTCCTTTAGTAAAGGATGCTAAAGTTGCTTTGTGTCTGCTGGAGATGTAAATATGGTCAGACAGAACAGCTTGATAATAAGCCCATAACCTATAAGGGCTGTGTGTGTCAGCTTGTTGTGGGGCTCCTCTGCCTCCAAGCAGCCATAAAAAAGTCAGTTATTGCAGCTTTAACATTGATTTATTCTTTGTCTAAAATGGGACAGTTCAAGGGCAATGCACAGCACACCTCTCAAAGAAAATTCTACAAGTTTGGGGACCTATGTGGCTCACTTGGCTCTTCATTTACTGACAGATAATTTAAAATAATTGATAGGCACCATTATTCCCCATTTGTTCACCTCTCAGTCTCACCTTCTACCTCAACAGGGATTATGATTTTACAGGCAGGGGGTGGAGGAGGAGGAGGAGGAGGGGGGGGGTGCTGGTCTTTTAACACTGCCCTCATCCCAATTCCTCCTCTCTTCACCTCCTCTCCTTCTTGGCGGTCAAATCCTCCCTCTGTGTGTTTCTGAGCGGTCGGTCGCTTCTGCACTGAGAGGCTGCTGAAGGACTTTGGGTCGGAGAACAGACAAAAAGATCGACCTGCGCCTGTCTGCAGCCTCCGCGGAGACACGAACAACTTCTGCAAATCTGCACCGACACTTGAGCCTGATGAAGATGAAGTAAGTCTCGACCCCTGACTATTAAATCAGACTTTTCAGGTCCTTCGATTTGTTGTTATTCAGCTCCTATTTTCACACTCAGTTTGCCTTTATTCTTATTTGTGCATGCATTCTTGCTTCATGGGCAAAAAAACCTTTAAATTCAAAGAAATGCATGATAAACGCGGGATTATTCGGCTGCGCATCCAGATATAAAGTAACACAGACAGCATCAGTTGTCACCTGCTGCAGCATCACTGTATGTAGCTGCCTGCATCCACTGTTTGTGAGAACACACGGGCAGGAAAAGTAGTGAGACTCCAAGACGAGTCAAAATCTTGGATGCAAAGAAAAGTGCTCATTAGAATGGCTCAGAAATCATTTTCAGAAATGATATACTTTGTTATTAGATAATTATGCATGCATATGTAAGCATGTTAATACTGAGGTGGAACTGTTTTATATTGTTGGGCAGGTTAGGAAAATAATGCATCATATTTTTAATATTAAAAGTTTTATATATAAAATCTTAACCTGCACGGTAACTGGATGTTAACTGAATTAGTAGAGAACAAAAGTATAATAATATAATAATTTCCATCAAATGTGAATATTGATGTAGGTGCCTTAATTAATGAAAAAAACTAAAATAAAAAACATAATAAAAACTATAGTTTTGTTATATTATGTAAGTATTCTGGGAGTATCACAATTAAACCTGTGAGTACCAAATGAAAACTGTCTGTGTCTTTGGGAAGATTGTAGTGATATACTAGCAGATGTAAATGAACACACAAGTATTGGTCTAATCAGGTCATCATGAAATATTTTTCATATAGTGCAGTTAGCTCATTTAAACTCATTATGGCTTCAATCATTACAGTAAATTATAGGACATAAAACAAAATACCATAAAGCCTTATAGAGGACTTACCACTGTATTATACCCTGGATATACACCTGTGGTAATTCTGCTTGTTTGATTTAAACTGAAACAGATTTTTTTTTAGAAAGATCTGCTTTTTGAATTAAAGTAACAAAAAAACAAAAACTGATGTCTGTGCATCCATTAATATAATAAATTAATGTGGAATTGTTCATTAATGGCAGTGACAGTACTCAGGTGATCTCAACTTTACAGTCATAGTGGAAATGTTTGCTGTTTTATCTTCACATTTGGTTTGTTTAAGCCAGGATATGATTTACAATAGAACAATATAATGCAAATGAATAGAGTCCGTCACTAAATTCAACCAATTTCTTGTCATCATGCACTAACACTAAGATGACATGGCATGTTTTTGATAAGTTGCAATTTAGTTTGAAACATGGGCTTGTGCATCACTGAGCATCTTTGTCATTCTCTGTAGTAACAACTGCATTGAAAACAGGAATATTAAACATAAACTCTGGTTAATCAAACTTAAATTTATTTTTTTTTATTGAACAGAATATATATATTTTTTAAATTAACATTAAGAAAAAAGCTACATAGCCCCTGCAGTACTCAAAAGTACCCCTAGGGGTATCACAGGTGTGGTAACTGAGAAAACAGTGATGCAACATAAACTTACATAATAATGAGGCAATAGTCCAAAATAGACAAATAAATCTAATAGAAAGTCCCAAAAACTGAAGTGGTCCAAACAACAATCAGTAAACACGAGGAGCGACACATCTCAACAATGCCGAACTAGCAAATGAAACAAAGAAAGTCAAGGACTCAAGGCACAGGTGAAAATAATCAAGGCATAAGGCATAATCAAGGACAGATTCTTATGCAACCTTGTGGTTCTAGCTGCCTCACAGGTCTCCAGTTTTCTAAAGATCTGAGAAAGCTACTAGATTCTTCCAGCAGATCAGAAATGTACTTTGGCCCCGAGGTCATTTGGTGTAAAGATTTAAGGACAGCAGTAATGTGCTCACTTCTTTTGGAAAGACCTGACAAGAGTCAACAGCAGTCCACTCTACTAGCGGAAAAAGGCATGGATGAGTTTTTCTAATTCTTGTTATTTGTTTGAGATGATAAAATACTGGTTCAGTTTTTGCCTGGATGTTGCCCAGATCTGAGTCCATTGTCTTTACAATCCAGGTGTATCATAACCCCTGACTACAAATAATAATAAAAGGACACATTTGTGCATTTTATATCAAACCTGTTCCATGACACCAGTAAAGGGTGCAGTTTTTCAGGCATTGTGTTCTCAGTGACTGATGGTGCCGTTGGCCCTCAGTGGGAGCAGCCGGTCATGCTGGTTACTGTTGCTGCACAGTTTGTCTGCAACTTCACAAGGAGTAGGCTCTCTGCAGGAGCATCAGTACATTTCCTGCTGCACCTCTGAAATGTGATTCAAACTAAATAATGAGTCCAGACCAGCGCTGTGTTTGCTGTTGTGTTTTTTGTCACCCTGTCTGAGGTATAAGCCCTTAAAACTCTACCTAATCAGCTTATGGCATGCAGACTCCAGCACACACACATACTCACACACACAAGCTTAAACACAGTGTCCTGTAGCTTATGGCTTTTGTCACTTCTTTAAAAGTTTTGCCCTCTGGCACCCACAGTCAGCTGCTAACAGCTAATAAGACATGGCTGCTGCTTGAGGCCGACTGGTGAATCATTTCCAAACAATTCCTGTAAACTTAACGTCTCTCTCAGCGCTCAGTCATGCTGTCAAAGTCTCTTTCTTCCTCTCTGCCACCCTTTTCTCTGAGAGGTCTCCGTTGCTTCCAGCCCTCCCCGGTTGCGCCTTGCTTCCTGTCAGATTGTGTCTGTCAGGGGGGGTTCGGGTTGCCCCTGGAGATGGGCAGACTGAGTCATTCGAGGTGGCGCGATGTGGGACTGGTGGGCCTGCGTGATGGAGGAGCTGCAGAGGGGCGAAAGGGTGGCGGTGGCGGTCCTTGCTGTGAGAAAGCCGAGGGGTACAGCGCAGGGGAAGTGGTGACGTCAGGTTGATCCAACGATGGCTAAGCAAGTGGTTCAGAACCCCTTTCTCAAATCTGAAAGACCGGCGAAGGGAGGTTGTGTTTGGCTTTGTGGTTGTGTGTGAAAGACTCTGAGAGTCTAGGTGGTACAGGTCACTAGGTTCCTCCGCACTAGAGCTGCAACAATTACTTAATTAATCGATTAGTCGATTAAATGAAAAGTAATTGCCAACTAGTTTGATAATTGAATAATGATTTTACAAATGTTTTTAAGCAAAAAAAAGCCAAACATTTTATGGTGTCCTGCTTCTTAAAAGTCATACTTTGATGCTTTTCTTTGTCAGATGTGGTAATAAACTGAATATCACCTTGGGCTATCTCCAGCAGAGACATTTAAAGTAGGGATGAGCGGACTGATTCTGTGGTATTGATACATCAATATTCACAAGCCACTCAGTTGGTATCGATTCCTTTAAACAAATATTGATAATAAAATGATGTAATTATAAAACGTGAGTGGCTGCGTGACTTCCAACCATTTTCTGTACTTGTAACTGGCCCACGTCACATGACTGTGGAAACCCATGTGACATGAGAACCGAGTGCGCACATCTGCATCACACCATGTAGAACCTCCATGCTTCTACAACACACTGGCCCTAGGTAGGTTTTGTGGCCACAGTAGTTTCTCAGGCCGTTCTTGTTCTCAGGGCATCACATCAAGACACTATACCAAAGAAGTTGAACCCCATGAGCACCAAAATATTAAAAATTGTCAAATAAATGATTCGTGATTAATTGAGGTTTTACAGTACAAGTGGAATTGCAAATAATCATCAGAAATAACTCATCATGGTCTCGTTGGACTGGCTATTTTGTCGTCAGTTATCTACCGGAGGGCCAGGACTCTCGTCACACTGAAGTGACAAATGGGCCAAAACTCTCACAAAGCTGGTGCAGTCTTTTAAGAATGTAGTTCACCCTCTTCCTCCTCCTCCTCCTCCTCCTCACCCCCTCCCTCTTCCCTCCCAGCCTCAAATGACCTTTCCTGGCAAACTGAGCGGTCAAACATCCTCTCTCTTGGCCCCCGCCGCCTTTTCCCTCAAGGTGAAGTCATTGACTATTCAGCCACTTGTGATGCCTGTCTTTGCACTTCTGATGTTGCCTGGGATGCGTCCTCTGCCGGCTCTGCCTCCCCATAGGAAAACCTCTCTCTCTCATCGTGTGCTTGTGTGTGTGTGTGTGTGTTAGAAAGCGAAACAGTGAGTCAGACAGATAGCTGATGAGTTTGAAATGAAGGGATTGTTAGATTTGAATAGTCAGACATTGGTGGAGGATTGTCAGGAGGAATTATGTCCATTTGATGTAGAGAGAAACTGAAACCAGTATGAAAGGATGTCAGCTTCCTGTCATTGACAGTTGATTTGCTCATTCATCCTTCGACCGTCTCTTTTATTCTAACTTTTCTGACTATTATGGGAAATACTGACCAAAGTTACTAGTATATTTTAAAAGAACCTCATGCTTTAGTTTAATAGTTGTGTTGTTGTTATTTACAATAGGGTCTGACCGAAAATTCATCTGGATGACACGATTGAAAGTATTTTGGCATTGGTTTAACAACAAAAAAGACATGTTGGAGAAATGGGTGCTGGAAGTAAGGGTCCTGTGGGGGCTGCAGCACCTCCAAACAATCTGGCATAATGAAAACATTCAATTATCCTGGCCATTCAAATGAATGTCATGCATTTAGCATTTGGTATAAGGTCATTATATACATGGCTTTCTCTCAGCAACCCCTAACTCTGATTGACTTCCAGCGTCCCTGTGTCTCCATTACACAGTTTGTCCACCAGAGAGCGCTCACAAGTGGATTTTTCATCTGTAAAATGTCCCACTCGCTTCATCCTGTATGTTGGTACAAATTATTATACGACCAAGAGTAAGGGATCTTTATAAAAAGGTTTAGAAATCTACTGTTTTCATATGAATGCTACTCAGTAACTCCATTTCTCACACAAAAAAGTAATTTATTATATCACATTTAAATCTTATGTATATGGGCATCTGCCTGTCTGCAGCTCTGTTCGGTGAAATAATTTGAACAGCCAGCTTTATCCCAAGTGGCATTTCTGTCAAAGCTTTCATTTTGGAATGACGGAGCCAAGTTTAGGCATTAAAAAGCTGCTGAGTGATTATTTATTAATCCTGTTTTGATTAGAAATGTGTCTCTGCTGAGACCCACGAAACAAACTTTAATTTCCTTCGTCATTTCAAGTTTGATTCTCCTTTCAGTCGAAGGGAAGCGCTCATTGACATACAGTACTTGTAATGTCTGTGATTTCCCACTTAAATTCCCACACTCATCCTCTCTGCTCTCCACAGGCTTCTTGTAAAAGAGCTTGTATAAAAGATTAAAGAGTCTGGATTTACTTCCCCCAGGTGAACTGCTTGTTAATTCAGGCCTGCAGGTGAAGCTCTGTCAGGTCTCGCCCGCGTTGGTAAGGACTCAGTGAGGTGTTGGAGGTCACCAGCTGTTCTCTGTTGGTTTTGGTTTGTTTGTACCTGGATGAACTGACAAATAGGGTTTCGTCAGCCGCAAACACACAAAAAGTGGACTTTCTCACAGTTCGCAGCTCACAGTCTCAACTGCTATTTATTTTTCATTTCTCCAGCTGGAGCCTCTGATCATCTATTCACTTCCTGCTTCTTCCCTAGGAATGAAGATTTCTTGAGTGACGCAGGGACAAGAAGAACTTGAAATAAACAGACAGCTCTTTTGGGGTCAAGCAGTGACATGTGATGCTCTGCTCTGAAATAGTTTGAGGCAGGGACGTGCTCAGACGTTTTGAGGAACTGTTGCTCTAGCAGAAAGGGGCATACCTCTGCTGGAGATGAGGAGCTGTAAAAAAGCCCCAAGCAAACAAAAAGCGTGAAGAAAAGTGGTGCCCTATGCCCCCTGTCATCTGACACTGTAGCATCAAGTCTTGGTATTGTTGCCGTTGTGTGAGGGCACTGGTTGAGTCTGTTGAATTTGTGTAAATGATTAATGATGAAGGCAAACCAATGGGATGCCCTGTCAATGAAAAGCTCCACACATGCTTCCAAACAATGCACAGATTGACACATTTGCATCAAGTTGTGCAATATTGCCTTCAATTCTGCTACGGAAAGTTACAAAGTGACAAAACTTTGGTCTAACTGAAGAGGCCTACACAGAAGTCACAAAAACTGCAGTTCCTCTAAAGGCCACTCGAGGCTGGTTCCAGCAGTGAGCCAATCTCCATAAGGCCCCATTTTAAAATGCCCAACTTTACAGCAGAAATGAACATGTTTTCAGTGTGGTTCAAAAAACTGTTTCAGTCTCAATAGCTAAATACCTCGTTCATGTTAACTGTACAGGGGGTGAATAGTTATGTAACTCACCCGTTTAAATTATATTGGGACTTAAAGTTATGCATAATTGAGGGCGTGGCTGCTTTGAGTGACAAGTTACGGCCATCACAGGTGGCTGTCTTTTGGTTTGGCTTCATTCAGCCTGCCTTAGTTCCGCCCACGCTCCACCTCTTTGGATTAACTGGAGCCAGGACTGCTGTTTGTTCTGAATCATTGTTTTCCTTTAAATGATTAATGTAGAATTAGTGGATTAGATCTTTTATACCAACGTTTTTTGCAATCAAACACACCCTGTATGCAGCTGCAGGACTTCACCTTTAGGATTTTGGGGCAATTTTGGGGGGCTCTAAAATATACATGTTGCGAGATGTCACACAGATTTCTATTTCTTGGAGTAAATAAAGCCTTATTACTCGACCAAAGAATCCAAATCTAAACAAAGGGGAGGAAGCCTGAGTGGAGCTGAACTGTCAATAACCATGTTCAATGGGACGATGTACTGCCACACCCGTCAATCAAGCACACATTCACAAAGAATACTTTTCTTTTAAGCCTTCATATAGCATACATTTGGTGATATTAAATTGTGTTGCAGTTGCCTCATGCAGCTTTCTGGTAATATAAAGACTTTCTCTTGTTGGATCAAAGCCTTTTTTAAACACAGTTTGAGGTGGTTTGTCAGCCACCGTTGTGAGAAGCAGAGTAGAGAAAACATATCCCAGTGTTATCAAAGCTATACAGAGAAAATAGGATTACAATACAACATAAAACAGGATAGAAAAAAGTAAAAAGTGAATATAGTGGAGGAGAAAAGGAGTGGTAATAATGGTAAATCTAGTTAAGTTGGAGGTTGGGCTTCAGTCCGACCCTCCAGGGAGTTTTGAGGGAATCAGAATTCCGATCACACTCTGCAGCTCCTGAAGTCTGACTCACAGAGAGCTCCAAGGACACACAGGCAGTCCCTCTGTCTGTCTGAGTCTGTCTGTCTGCACACACGCACACAAATACACACACATTCATATGTCAACAACAACATTATTGTTGGGATGATTGTATTTTCATCATGATTCTATTTATTTCATAATCCCATCATATAGCTACAACTGCAAACCATGGATGAACTGGGGTTATTGTTACAATTTGATTATTAATTGGTTGTATCATTTGTCGTATTTTTAAGTATCGCAGTTGAAAAGGTTGATGGAAACGGCAAAATATAAAAAGCCTAACAAAGTTTTGTAAAAAAGTTTTTAAGCTAAAGTATGAATTCATGTCAGAGAATGAAGGAGTCAAAACTAAACTAATAAATCAGTGTCTCAGTCTGGAAATATTTGATGTTTGTGATAAACTGATGAATGAAGTGTTTCTTTATGTGTTAGAAAATTCTAAATAAATTCGATAACGACCTCTTGGATAGGCTTGATGCATTGCTACAAAGCTGAAAACAGGCTGTCACCTGAAGGGACATGTCACCCAGTGCAACAGTTCAGTTCAGTTAAGCTTTTGGAGCTCCATGGCACAGAGGAAGAACATATATCAAGCTTTGAAACATAGAAAGTCTTTGTTAAAGCGGAATTATGCTTCTGCGATTATATACACGTAGACATCTCTGCAGAGAAGAGACTTATGGCTAACTGTAGGTGCCACAAGCTCGCAGAGGAGCAGACACACAGCAACGCGTCGTGTGGACCTGCTTGTTAAGCAAACTGATTGGTTGATCCAGGCGAGTTTGAAGCTGAGAAAATATGCAAACTTTCATCTCCTCAATAGAAGAAACAGCCATCGAGAGCCAAGCAAACGTTTCCAAATGTGCACATTTGCCTCTGTGCAGTCTGGAGAAGCATGTTCCAGAAATTCTCACCAGACTTGATCCTCTAAAGAAAAAAAGTTTTGGTCATAGATCTTCATCAAGATAAAGCCTGCTGCTTTTTCTTCTTCTATCGACATAAAGTTTCAGCAAGGTAACAACATGTGTAAAGTTCTTCTTGTTATGAGGACGAAGTAACCAGTGAGATTTGAATCAGACTAGAATAGATGATGGAAAGTGAAATCAGGGAGTAAATGTAAGTATATTAGCTTAAACTCTGCAGAGAGCTTCTTGTCATTTCAAGTTCAACCATGTGGTCCCCCCCTCCCCTTTTTGTCTTTAACCCACAGACTGGATGTGCTTCTACCTGTGCTGCTGTGTACCATCTGTCTCCTCGTCCTGCCGTCGTCCTCTACCCCCCACCACGAGTCAGGTACGCACCCCTCCCTCTCTGCCCCCCTCACATTCACCGTTACCATCCACAGCTGACATCCACGACTCCATTAAATCATACATGACCTCTGACTTTTAAGGGGGCAGCAGGGTGCTCTTTAATCATTCCCTGTCGTTCATTGTTTCTGTCGACATGTGCACTCTTGGGGGGGGGATTTTCAAGGGTGTCCCAGCAGAAAATGGAGGTTAACTGATGGGCTGGGTGTCTTTTTCCTTTAGTTGTGTCAACAGAAGCCCAATAAAAGCAAGAACTGACAGATGTCACAAATTACTCATGACATTATAGTATATGGCTTACTCAGCTAAATGATTTGGAGGAATGCGAACTGAAAGTTTTTAGAAGCAAATGAGCTACAGTTTAATATTACTGACCTCTGCTGGTGATCACTGGGAACTGCAACAACTTGACTGACCTGCTCAAACCTGGATAGAATATTGTCATTTTGTTTGCCTGCACTCCAACGCTGATTAAAGGTTGGCTCTAATAACTGGTTGCAGGGGTTTTTCTCAACAACTGGAAAAGCTAAATAAAGTCTGTGTTTCAGTGGATGAGTGGATGAAATTAGTTAAATCTCTTCTCACAAACGTCTCAGCTTTAAGAGAGTGAGAGCTATTTTTGGAAAATGAGGGACCCCTTCATAAATATGAATGTATTGATCAGTGTGGTTTAACGATGAGATGCTCCATTTTTCTTTTTCCCTTTGTTTTTCCTCCTTCTTCCACCTCCATGTTTCCTCACTATTTACTGTTTGTTGTTTTTGGCCCACGCTTTGGTTTCAGGGATGACCACTTTGGTCAAGACTGAAATATCTCAACGTTTATTTGACGGATTACCATCAAATTTTGTCATAAATGATTCCCAGAGGCTGCATCCTAATGACACTAGCGATTCCCTACCATTTTTTCTAGCTATGGAAGGGGCTGTGCCTGAATTGGACCATCCATTTTAAGAACATTATCAGAGCTGTTTTCTTTTAGGAGTACCTCTCAAGCATTGCTGTGCACAGGGTTTAGAAATACACAGGTTGAATTTGCTAGTGGGGTTGGGGTCATGCATCAAACTAGTAGGTATGTTTAGGCAATTATTTCAGGACCTTTACTGTATACTCCTCGGAAAACATACTGAGGTCTGGACCTCGGGGGCCTCAGTCATGGGTATGGCCATGCTCACCAGAGGTGGCGGTGCCCAATAACAAAGGTCCTCAGTACCAGTGAGTAGTGGCCCATTTCAGGCTAAACCAAAATGATAAACATTGCACTGTACTTGCTGCACATCAGTGTGTTAACATTTGCATTGTGAGCATGTTGACATTAGCAATTAGCTCAAAACACCACTGTGTCTAAGTAGAGCCTCGCAGCCTAATTGTGGCCTTCATTTTGGCTAATAAATGTATAGTATGTATTGTTATACGTAGCCTATGTCACTAATGCCACCAAAAATAATTACTTTTGTAACTATTTTTATGTCAGGTCTTGGGAATCTAGCATGTATAAATTCTGAAGCAGATTTCATTAAAGGAATAGTTTGACATTTTGGGAAATACTTAGAATACAAATTGTTGCTTTTTACGTTTCTGTTTGTTTATGGATTCAACAAACACAATACATGTTATTTAGTGAGCTTTAGTACATTAGCACATTAGCTGGCTAGCTGCTTCCACTTGCGTCCAGTCTTTATGCTAAGCTAGGTTGTCGCCTTGCTTCTGCTGCATACTTATCACACAGACATGAGAGAAGAAAAACTATGTATTAAGCATATTTCTGAAAATGTCACCAATTACTTTAAAGCTTGCCTCTCCTCAGATGATTCCAAGCTTCTCCAGGTGACCATCCCGTCCACCCCGCCTATACTTGCTGTCCTGGGCGGCTCTCTCACGTTACCCTGCCTGGTGTCTCTGGCCCACCCGCCGCCGTCTCCCTCCACCAACGGCCGCCACGCCGTGCTGTCCCTCCCGCGGGTCAAATGGACCGTTCTGACTCACGGCCAAGAGACGGAGATCCTGGTGGCCCGCGGCGACAGGGTGAGAGTCAGCGAGGCCTACAAAGACAGAGCCTCGCTGCTCAATTACGCCTACTCCCCCGCCGACCTCACCCTGCGGCTGGAGAGCCTGAGGCAGAACGACACCGGCTTCTACCGCTGCGAGGTGCAGCAGGGCCTGGAGGACGCTGACGATGTGGCTCAGGTCAAGGTCAAAGGTGAGACAGACAGCGTAGTTAATAAATATTGAAAAAGTAAGAACCTGAAAATATCTCTGTATTTAGCAATGATTCTCATGCTTTCTTTTATAAAAATACATGTGGACAAAATAACAAGAACGCCTGTTTTAAGCAATGGCTCTACATCATCTTTGTGGACTTTTTTTTAAATGTTAAATTTAGGATTTTTCACATTTGAATTATCCTGAAGGTGTTCTTGTGACTGTATCCAGCACGTGTAGATACACAAGGTGGACAGAATAACAAGAACAGATCAATACAATGCAGTACAACAACCCCTAAAATACTCACTACCGAACACATTTAGTTTTATTTTAGTAGCATTAAGGAAACTGAACCTCATTATACAACCCTGCATTGTAAATGACAATTAAATAATCTTGGATCCTTGAATCAAAACCTCTCTGGGAAAAAAGGTTTCATTAATGCAGGGCTGCTATATCGCAATTTATTAGTTAATTCAGTTTCCATGTTTAGCTGCTATTTGGTTTAACTGGTGAATACACACTTATCCTTCTTGCTTCTCAAGTAAGAGATGCATATTATTGTAATATATCATTATAGTAGAATATTATATTATTTAGTTTACCAATTTCATAATTCAGTTTAATCAAAATGGCATTATGATATTGAATATCAAATTAAGTGTTATGTGTAATACACACCTGGTAAATAGGTGTATCGTGTTTAAAAATGTCTTGATTACTTTAATGTTGATGATATAAAGCAGGTCTGCTAGTCCTCCTCCCTACCACAGATCTGACCCAGTCACTCTGAGATAAACGGGCTCAAAGCATCAACTGCAGTAATTTAGCAGCATAGTCTGATGGCATTGACAGAACACGCATGTGTGAGTCAACACAGAGTCAGTGGAAAGTAATTCAGTGGACATCGTGAAGAGAATCAAGGTCAAACAAATTACCTTGTGGATAATAGATAAAGCCACTGTGTCTCATATTTCTGCACCTTTATTATGCAATGCACCCTCAACATCTGTGATGAATGGTCATCTCATTCAGCACCCCCACCAAGTAATAGATTATGGATTCTCTGACCACAGTCATTTGTGAGCTCATATATCAGGACTGCATTAAATATAGATAGTAGACGGTGCAGTTTGGATATGGTTTCCCCTGACCAGATTTATTGTTAATCCAATAAATGATTCTGGTTGTGTTTTTTTTAGTTTTACAGTAAATAGTAATACAGTAAAAGATCTTCATATTCAGATGAACAACGATGGTTTGTAATACTTAACTGATCCCAGCAAGGAGAGTTTTGTGAAGTCGATGTCAGGATCAGATCAGATTCATGTCCTCTTTTCAACTTTTACAAATTTGACTGCAAAGACGGCAAAGAACTTCTTTTTAGTTCAGCCTGTTCCTCTGAGCTTATAACAATAAAGCTTTTGTTTTATGGCAGTTGCAGCTGGTGGAATTTCCTAGTATCAAAATTGGACGGAAATCTGTTTTTTGAATATTTTTTTAGGAGAGAGAACACACAAATGACAACTTATGTAGGAAGCAACAATATCCAACCATGTCCCAATGTATCAGGATTATCTGCACTTATTGATGCTTAAAGGATCAGTTTGTAGAATTTAGTGGCATCTAGTGGTGAGATTGCAGATAGAAACCAACTGAAACCTTTTGACTCATCCAAGCTCAAAGGACAAATTATGGTGGCTGCAAAAAAAAAGAAAAATGCGAACCCTATCTTGAGCAATTTCTGGATCTGGGCTACAGTAGAAACATGGAGGTTAAACATGGCAGATTTCGTAAAAGAAGACCTTCTAAGGTAACAAAAACATAATGATTAAAATTTTCAGGTGGTTATACATTCATAAAAACATAGTTATGCATATTATATTTAATTTCTGCTGCATTCTGTAAATAGAGCCAATCTTACACACTGGAGATTTAACTATGTAATCTTGTCCTTTTGAAGATATTGTAATAATATGGTTGATGGAAACACCAACATTTCAGAAATGTGTTTCAAACCTATGTAACATTTAACAGCAACATAACTGCAGACACCTACTTTTCCTGCGTACTGTACGTCACCCTGCCTCTAATGCTTCTTTGCAGAATGATCACATAAAAGACGACAGGAGCCAGAATTTATAAAGCTGTTGTTTGGGGTTTTACAGGGGTGGTGTTCCATTATCGTGATGCATCCAGCCGCTACGCCTTTACCTTTGAGCAGGCCAGAGAGGCCTGCGGGGAGATCGGGGCTGAAATTGCCACTCCAGAGCAGCTCCTGGCAGCCTACCAGAGTGGATACGAGCAGTGTGATGCCGGCTGGCTCTCAGACCACTCAGTGAGGTGAGCACCTGAGAGAACGTGGTCCAATGTCAAACAGCATGCATCGCTCAACACTGGATCAAGTGGCCTCTCAGCTTGGAAATTCAGCATTTTGTGTCATGTAGAATTATGATTTGAGGCACTCAGATGTTCAGTGTACATTTGGCAAGAGTCCAAATCCTTCATCCACCAGCTCAACAAAAACAACAACATGAAATTGCTACACTGACCATGTGGCTGTGGTTCATCCAGCATGGAGGTTGGTCAGCTTGGAGGGCTGATAGTGGACCACTCAGCCAGCTAACATTTGATATGCTCTCTAAATCTGCGCATCACAACACACAGATCATCGAGTGGCTGAGAGGCACTCATCTGATCAGAAACCAAACATTTCTCCCCACTTCAGCACTCACTCAGAGAAGAGCTGCAACAAGTGTGATGTTTGGAGTGCTGCCATTACGAAAGAAGAGGTACTTAGTGTTTCAGTGCTGTGCAATATTTCTTTCCACAGATACCCCATTCAGATGCCGAGAGAGGGCTGTTTTGGGGACATGGATGGATTGCCAGGAGTGAGGAACTACGGACTGTTGGAGCCTGATGAGCTGTATGACGTCTACTGCTACGTGGAGAATATTGAGGGTAAGACAACCAAAAGTAATAATAATAATGATAATATATATAATATTTTTTATCATCCGGATCACATTGTTTGAAAAGTTTTTCCAGTTTGGTGTTACCTAGAAACACTAGGGAAAAACTGATTCAATATAACATCTTAACGCTGTGACATACAGTGATACTTTAGACAATAATGAGCCTCCAACATTGTGTCAGCAGTTTGTGTTTGTCCCTTTATTGTTTCAACGTGACAAAGCCCTTGTGCACAAAGCACATTGTGCATAAATAAATGTTTTTCTCCAGTTTGGTGTGTAGGGAAAAGAGATGCAACATAACACTGATGTAATTAGACAGAATAAAGGCATTTATTTATTTTTTAGAGGATGACTGGGGGTTTACAAGCACAAAATACAAAACAATTTGGTAAATCGAGGCAAGCAACAAAGGAAAGACAGACAGCGGGTTAAGTAACATAAAAGAAATCAAAAGAACAAAAAAAGCTTCTCATTAATGTAATTTTAGCAACTACCTGTCTGGTTTACCAAAACCTTTAGTTAAAATGAAACTTGAGCTCTCTGATGAGGCACAGCAGGGGGTCCTGACCTCACCCACCCAACACCTTTGGGATGAAGTGGAGCATTGACTGTGAGTCAGATCTGATCGCCCAGCATCAGTGTTGGACCTCAATAATGCTTTTGTGTCAGCCATGTTCCAACATCTGGCAGAAAGATTAGAGAGCAGGCTGTCACATGAATTTAATGTTTTGTTGTCTACATACTTTTGGCCATGTAGTGTGTGTAAATACTTTACTGCTACCAAACTACCAATATAAGAAAACAAACAATATAATTTTCTACTACCCTTGATTTTTATCACATGTGTAAAGGGGAAGTGTTCCATGGCACCGCCCCCCAGCGTTTCACCTTCTGGGAGGCCAAGGCCTACTGCCTGAGTCATGGGGCCGAGCTGACCACCACAGCTCAGCTATACGCAGCCTGGAATGACGGACTGAACCACTGCAGTCCGGGTTGGCTGGCAGACGGGAGTGTGCGGTATCCCATCGTCACCCCCAGAGAACGCTGTGGAGGTGGTGAACCCGGGGTCAGAACTGTCTATCGCTACAGCAACCAGACGGGCTTCCCAGAGGTTCACACTCGACATGATGTCTACTGCTTCAGAAGTAAGAGGACAGTCTTGTGTTTGATACATGTCCTGGTTTATTTTCTGCATCCCAAGAGTTGACCTGCAATCCTGCCTATAGTTCTTCTATTCTTTATTTCATGACTTTTCTCTAATCTTTTTTCCTGTGAAACACTGGACGGTTGTACCTCATCTAAAAAATATTACACATTCTGAGAAGGTTATAAGGGGGAAACAAAGCCTTTCTCAATCTGCGTTCTTGTGGACATCTGAAACACCATCATTTCAGTAGTGTTTTAAGCTGGAAGACCACATTTGGCCAAGAATGCCTACTTAAAGCAGCTACAAGGAACTTTTATTTTGTGTTGATTCTGGCGGCCTCTGTGGACAAAAGAGGTAGTGTTTCTGATATAGAGACATTAGTATTCAATTGAGACCTGTTTCATAACCAGTTAAAAACTCCTTGTAGTATGTTTAACCAAATATACTATGTTTAGTTTGAGGCTACACTCTCAACCAAATAACATTTTCTAATTCTGCTCTTTATTTCAGGCGATAATGGCCCTTACACAGAATCCCCTCAGGATTTTCTTGCCACTGAGCAAGAGGACATTGGCCAGGACATTGTTTTCTTAACTAATCCTGCAGAGGAGGAGTTCAGCCTGAGTGAGGTTACGGCTAAGGGGAGCGAGGAGGTCCAACACGCCCACACGGCCAATCCTGTAAAGCAGGGCCCCATGGAGGTTCAGTCCCCGACATTGGGTTATGACAAGGAAGCATTGCTGACCGTAGACCTTCATCAGTCGGTCACTCCTCCATCTGAGCATCAAGAGCACTTGTCCACAGAGGATATCTGGGAGGTAATAAAGAAGGTAATCTACCTAGAGTCCTATCAGCCAGCATCTGAAGAAAACCCAGACACAGATCATGAAGAGTCTCACATACCAACAACTTCTCCAAAGGCTGATGCCGTAGTAACTGTTGGTGAAGACTCCACTTTACCCACAACTGATGCGACAACTTCAGAGAATGGAGAGACCTCAGAGGCTCATCTTTCTGTGACTGAAAGCCTAGATATGCCAGGTCTTAATGCAACATCTGGACCTGATTCAAATGAGCTCCTCAGCAGCTCTCCAGAGGTTCCTCAGGAAGGTGATCTTCCTGTTTTACAAGAGGACCACACTCCAGATGTCCACTTGGAACACGCCTCAGAAACTGAGCTTGTCTACTCGAGCACCTCTTACGATGTTTCGGGACAGCCGGAAGAGGCCAGCACTGGTACTGTTGAGGAGATATCAGCGCTGACTACATTACCCCACACTGAGGAAGCAGATGTTCACTCCACAACCCTGTTGCCATCTTTTGACAGTAGTACGCCTGAGAACCATCCAACAGGAGAGGAGTCTGGAGAGGGGAGTACAAACCCGGTTTTAGATCAGGAAACGCAAGACTCTGTGACTCAAAGTTTGGTTGGTATGGACACCTCTGCCACCTCTGAACTGGTCCCTGCCTCTGATTCAGGTAAGTATACAGTGTAGTATTAAAGTTAGGATGTTATAGTGACCTAATATTTGACTATCATCAACAGTCTGGTCTATTTCAGAGGCTTCTCCATTGCTAGTGACAGTGTGAGGGTATAATTCTCATTATACACTAGAAACAAAAACTATTACATCCTCACCACTGGTTGGTAAAATGTAAATGAAATGAATTTTACCTGATGGTTTTGTTGCCTAAATTCAGTTTATTCTCCGTACCATGGACATTTTAGGACATCTCAGACTCATTTGACATTTAGCATGTTTGTGTAACACGTTAATGTATGCTGTGTTAGTGTTAATCTCAAACTAAAGCCAAGGCTGATTCTGGCATCAGTTGCAGAGTAAGTAAATAAATAAGTGTAGTAGATGAAAGTGTAAAATCTGATGAGTTTTTGGCACTAGATGAAAAACGTGTCATTTTTATGTTCCCAGGGTCCTATGTTTTCCCAGATTTATATGGAACATAGCCGAATGAGACATGACAAAGGGTCCTGTGTTCCCCAGTCCTAGGGTTAGGGTTAGGGTTTAGGGAGCTGAGGACCCTTGCGACCCTGGGAGAATATATGCACTCTGGAAAAATCAGGGGTTCATCAAAGTCATAGGATTCATCCTTTTTAGGGATCGTCTATGGCAATAGTCATGCTATCCAAGCAAGATATTTCATTCTGAACCAAAACATAAAAAGAAATATATAAACTGTAAACCTATGTATTATGTAAGTAAATGTCTTTAAATCACAAAAGCACAAAAATCCTCTATTGCACAACTTGTAATTGGGACAGCGTATTTCTGATTTTATTTCCTGCCGTTGTCGTCCATTTTTTAAACTAAATGACCTTTAAAAAGAAAGAAGATATTTTTAACATACAGTTTCAGATGATCCCTTTTTTTTGACAGGTTACCATCCTACTCAAGAGCAGCCAGGTGTAACTGTAGAGTCGCCCATCCCAGACGACCATCATGATGACGAGGAATCCAATAGCACTTCAGAGGAGGCAGCACCGGATGATTCAACTGACCAGAGTGCACTCATCCATCCTGAAGATATCCCAACAGCAGAAGTCATCATAGCCACAGATGACTCAGGGTCCACTGTAGACACTCCTGTCCTAAATAGCGATACAGTCACTTTGTTGACGTCCCCTGTATCTGTAACTCTGTCTCCCCCCTCAGTGGAGGTTGAAGCCAGCTCCCCAGAGATTATAACCTTCATACCTGAAAGCAATGCTTCATCTGGGGCCGGAGCTCTGGAGGACATCCAGGACAAACTTGAGCAGGAGGGATTAGGAGAAAGCCCAGAAGTATTCTTCAGCAGAACCCAAAATACCACAGACAGCGGTCCGGAGGGTAGGGAACAAGATGCCAGAGAGGGATCCGGTGAGTCATCCGGAGAAAACCCAGAGGTGAAACAAGGACTCCTGTTGACAAATCCAACTCTCTCATCAGATCATACTTCTGGGGGAAATGATGGTGAGGCTGGCACTGACACATCTCCTCCATCAGATGTAAAAATCACACTGATCCCTCACCTGACCCTCACCCCCGGCTGGGAACCAGAGCCTTCTTCCCCCACACCGCAAGAGTCTCGCTCTGATCGGGAATACAGTGTCGAGCCTCCTGTCGCTGAGGTATCTGATGATGTCTCTAAAGAGCAAGAGTTTGTGGCGGAGATCACCACCAGCAGCATCAATGGTGAGTTTAAGGGCATATTATTTATTTCTGCCACTAGGGAGTCTCTGATGTTGCGAAGTTGCGTGGGATCATGGTTTATGATCATGGATCATTGCTGATAATAATAGCAGAAATTTCTCACATATGAGGTAATTTAATGTTGTGTGTTTATGTTTAATGTTGTTTTTTTTGCTGTAATTTACTTTATTTGATTTTGTGAGATGTATTTATCGTTAATATAACTTGACATGATAGTATCAATATAGTCCCGTACCTTTGTCTAAAAAGCCCCTAAAGTTGAAATGTCTGCATTTAGAAATAATTTGAATATATAATAAAACTGTCTCAGCAGAACATGGATCAGAGGGAGGCGAGGGCGAGATCAGCACAGATGAGCCTTCAGTTAAAATATGCACATGGCGTCCAGATGAAGAGGAAACCAACAGTCCAACACTCAGTGCTGACAGCAGCGATATGACTGTCACTGCTCCCACCGTGTTCCCGGAGTATATTCCAAAAGGCGGCAAGGAGCAGACGGCGATGGCTGCCTCTCTGCCTGCTGCCAAAGTCTCTGCTGCAAGACAAGGAGGCCTTTCAGGTACCTGTGCTCCATAACCAAGTACTGCTCATTTGATGATAACAAACAGCAGCTGGTGTTAGTATGCTTTATTGCTGATTTGGGAAGGCGGAGGCAATGCTTGTTTCTGAAAATGCCCAATCAGGAAAGAGATTTATCGGACGCTGCAATTTAGCACCTCACGCTGACTCAGCACCGTAAAAGAGAGATTAGCTACCCGTTTTGGATTCATTCTTGCAGGATAACACACAGCAAGCTCCTCACTGTGTTACTCAAGAAGGGTTGCATTATCCATTTTTAGATTGTTGGAAATATATACCCAATTCTACTCTAAAAGGCCAAATGCAAATGGCTACGAATGAGCTTTGACTGACACAACAGGACACAGGATGACTCAAGACACTTATATTGTGGTGAAAATGAAAAATTGAGCAGTCAGTAATTTATATATTTAACTAGTTTTAGGTCCCAGCATTTATCCACTTTAAGCATAAAATTGACATGGCCATGCCTATTCAAAAAGGACTTGAAAAAAAAAGTAGTAAAACATTTCTACAATATGGAAAAGCAAAAAAGTGCAGGGCATAAAAACTGAGCTTTCAGAGACATAAATTCTAACTTGTAACCAAAATCACCAAAATTACGAAGATATAAAGGCCTGAATAGTTGCCTCGCATGGTGAAAAGTGCTTGTCAAAGTATATCTGTGCTGAAGTTAATTTTTTTATTGCTTGATTATCCAAAAGTTGTAAATAAGTATGTAAATAAATAAATATAGGTGCTGTCTTTAAGATGATTTGGGTGTAAATGTTTTCTTTGTTGCACAAGCATTAAATCACTGTGATGTCTGTCCTTTGTCCGTCTCTCACTAAAGACCTTACGTGAAGTAAATGTAATATGATTTCTTTAAAAAAGATTTATTGTACTCACATAATGGATTTTAACATTGATGCTGGGACATGTAACTAAGAAGCGGCTCCCATACCTGATGTAACAGCTCCCTCTGCTGGTGCCTCCCAGCAGTTCATTTGAGAATGAATCGTTAAACAAGGTTTAAAATGTCAGTAAAGGGTCTTTCATCCTTTGAGGACATCTGAATTAGTTTGTGGGGATGCAGGACTAATGAAAAGGGAAAAAATGGAATCAAGTCTGATCAAATAATTGTTGAAAGTATAGAATGTAATTCCCATTCAGATGGAATAGTTAGTAGCTAAATATGGTACAAAGTATAAGATTACAGTTTGGAATAGTCCCTGATAAATAAATCTAATGAAATAAATGATATTAATTTAATTAATTATAGGCTTGGTTATTATTGGTTATCTCCACACAGTTTCTTCTCAAATTGTATTATTTTAATAGATAGATTTGAATGTCTGATACAGAACAAAAACATTTGTTTTGAATTGCATGGAGTTCTGTTAATTAGGCTTGAGGAGTGACGGATAACATGTAATTGAGTTATGTAATCAGGATACAAAAACGGTAACTAATCTATTACATTTACATAAAAAAGATGTAATTAGATTAGTTACCTTTAGTAAAAATGGGGATTATTAGCAGGATTACAAATTGATAATCCAAAAGTAACAGAAAGTAATCAAGTGATTTTACCTCAATACTGTAATACTTGGATTAGGTAACAGGTAATTAGTTGATTAAATGTGTCAGATTACATTTTTAAAGTGACCCTCCAAACCCTGCTGTTAATAAGCACCACCATCTCCACACAGCTGCAGACTCCTGCCTGGAGAACCCCTGTTTGAATGGAGGCACTTGTATCGATGGTGAATCAACAAGGTGCCTTTGCTTGCCCGGTTATGGAGGAGTGTTGTGCCAGACAGGTAGAGAGTCAACATATAATCACAAAATTCTCCAAATACTAGGAAATACTTTGCCTCTCCTTTCTCATTCAATCTGTGTCCGACCTGTTCAGATCTGGAGGCGTGTGAACCCGGCTGGGAGAAGTTCCAGGGATTTTGCTATCGTCACTTTACCAAGAGGCAGAGCTGGGAGGTGGCTGAGCAGCACTGTCGCATGTGTGGTGGACATCTCATTTCTGTCATGACCCCCGAAGAGCAGGACTACATCAATGGTAAAACTGAAACTCTCCAAGAACACCACTTAGATTCTAGTGACCTGGAGGCAAAATAATCTGATTTTCTGAGTTAGATGCGATTTCTTTGAGCTCAGGAAACACATCTTGGCTAGTTAGGAAATAAATGTGTTCACCACCTTATTTCTATCCTATTTCAAATGAATGTGAAGAAGATGAGCATTTACACTGTGTAATTTGTGCTGTGAAAATGTAGTTCAGTAATTGGTTTCACTAATTACACATTTACCAGTCGTGTTTGCAATTTTTTAAGAAGCACAATCACTTGATTATTAAAATAAAAATATATCACTTTTTTACTATTTTAGATTGAGGCTCGCATTGTTCACCTTTATTGTTTTGTCAAAGTTCCTCTGACATTGAAAATTGGTTGGTTAGGTGCTGATCTTCATGCTTTATTGTCTGAAACAATTAGCTTACTTGGACAATATGATGGATGATGGCACGGTGGCCTATGATTAACTGTTTTCCACAGTGAAATATGAAATGATTGCAAAATGTCATAAAACATTATAAACATAATCATTAAAAGTAACCTTTAAATTACTTATTTCTCTCAGCAGATATCAAACAGGTGATCTTTTATCTTAACATTCCTCAAATTCAGACTTTTAAAAAATCCAAAGTGAAGAGTTTGTTTTAACTATGAGGCCTCTCAAAATGGTCCAGACAAGACACAACAACGGCCTTTCATGCCTTCCCTCTTATTGAATCTGTCTTTTACATAGACAATGTCACAGTTTTGAAGTTGGTGTTGGTATTTCGTCTGGCAATGAGGCGATGAGATAGTTATCTGACATTCCTCTGGTGGTTGTGGTGTATTCTGCGGGCAGTTGCTATGGCTCCTGTGGACTGATGCTCAAATTTTATATTGTTGTAACGGTAGTCTTTATCCACTCATTCCAACTCATCAACAGTATATTTTTTTGGCATCAAGTGTTTTAATCTGTCAACAAAACATAGAACAAGCTTTTAGCTTACAAAATGCTAAATGGGAGCACTTGAAGTTAAGTGTTGCCTATTCCCATTTCATTTAGGACTTTTATATTGTGTCTCTTTTATATCTTAGTGGCATCTGATGTAGAAAGGTGCTATGAATACATTTTACTTGCTTTATCTACATAGCACCGATACAGGGACCCCTCTCTTATTTTCCCTCTTCATACCTTTACATTTTTAGACAAATACAGAGAATATCAGTGGATCGGATTAAATGACAGAACCATTGAGGGCGACTTCCGCTGGTCCGACGGGAACCCTCTGGTGAGTGTCTGTGACTTATTTTGACCTTGTGTGTTTTGATCAAACTTGTGAGACCTACAGTTTGGCAAGTTCAGTTTTAAGGTGTAAATCCTGGAAAATTGTCTAAGCTGTCTCGTTTCACTGTCTTTTAAAACATTAAAATCATCATTGATGAGATGAAAAGTTGTACTTGATTACATTTTTGTCTTATATGACTGTTTTAATCCGTTCTGGTCTCTGTCAGCTCTACGAGAACTGGTACAAAGGCCAGCCCGACAGCTACTTCCTCTCTGGTGAGGACTGTGCGGTGATGGTGTGGCACGATGGCGGCTGCTGGAGCGACGTGCCGTGCAACTACCACCTGTCCTACACCTGCAAGAAGGGCATCTGTGAGTTCACTTCATTTGAGCTGCACCTTGTCTAAGGTCTCTTTTTTAAATCAGCACTAGTGGTAGGAATCTAACAAGCAAAGTTGTCTCTCCGTTATTCTTCCATCTAACAGCATCCTGTGGCGAGCCCCCAAAGGTTCCCAATGCTAAGGTGTTTGGGAAGAAGCATTTGCGTTATGAGACCAACACCAAGGTGCGGTACTACTGTGAGGAGGGTTTTGTGCAGAAACTGAATCCTGTGATCAAGTGCCTGCCTGGCGGCCAATGGGAGGAGCCTCTGATTACCTGCATGCCAAGTAAGTGCATTTACTGGCTGACCTTGATGAGAGGTCACAACTCAGGACCCAAAATGCAGACAGTACAAACAAGAATGTAGAATAAACAAAAAAGGTAACACAAACAGAATAACGAACAAACACTATCAGAGAGAACCAAAAAAATAGTCCAAACAAGAGAAATCCAAATCGATTTTTTAAAATGTGTAACGGTGGAATACTCTTTCAAGACATTGTGTCCATTCTTACAAAGGTTCACACAAACACTTCTCTCCTAAATAAAAAGAGGCTGTGATCCTTTACTTTTCTATTTGTCTCCCACCTTTAGCCCATTCGATGGAAGAAGACTCAGATACCTCACATCCTTACCAGTACGAGGCGGTCGTGGAGGCCATGGAGGTCATGAGCACAACCACAGAGACAACAGCTCCTCTGTTCTGGGACATTAAGTGGCATGTCTAAAGCCATCCTGCCTTTTTTGTAAAACAAGATTCCACCTCCTCTTTTCCCCCTTTTCTTGTGTCTCAAAAGACTTTTCCGGTCCCGTTTCTGCATTAAGTTAAACTGTATAAAACTAATCTTTCATATTAAAGTCATCTCGAGGCCACAGTTGTTACAGTCATGTAATCCAAATGGTTTTTCATTACAGGAGAAAGTTGTCTAAAAAGTTATGGAAGGTTAAGGTGAATTTGGTCATTGGGCCTGTTGAAGCGAAAACACTCTTGATCTAGACATCTCTGAAACAATGACTCTCAAAATAATTCTTCTGAAACTTGAGGATCCTCCACACTGTTGATTTGACATCCATCTTCCTTTTTGGATCGAAAGGCTTTCTGTTTGTTCATAAAACATTTTTGTTTTTAACTACGTACAGTTTTAAGATCTTCTCTTATCTTTTGACTTCCACACAGAAGGACAACTTCTATGAGAATATAAAAGACCTAGAATCTAATTAACGAAATGTATACGAGCCCTAAGTTCTTAATATTTCTGAGACAATTCTGATCATGCTTAAAATACAAGTTAATCATGTAAATGTATGTTTTATCAGTCTGTATTACCCTGAATAAACTAAATTAAATATAGGCTATATTATGTGAATCAAGTACCAAGTAGGTGATAGGAAAGATTATGTCCCAAGCAGCATATGGGGGTTTAAGGGATTCAGAAGTATTTAAAACAAATATAATTATGTCCTTTACAGCATACTTACTTTACTTACTTACACAGTGGTGATCTGTGATGTGCTTTACTTTCATAATCAGCAACCATTTTGTATGTAAACATTACTGTTCTTTAAGAAAAGATCATTGAATGACAACGTTGAATTCATGAATTTGACTGCAGGAGCCGCACACGCCGTAGTTTAACGTATATGAAACGGATTAATGTTCATTAAAGTTTGCAGTTTAGCCTGTTGTACTTTCTGTTGAAATTTCCCACAGACTGCACTCTTGAAAAAGATGTGCATTTAATGTAAAAGCACTGCTGTACTGTAATATAGTGCAACACTATCACAGCTACACAGGATGTGGAAAGAGACTCCCCGAGTGCAGTTAATCTTTACAACTGCACTTGGAAACATTGCATATTGACCCTTACAAATGGCAGTGAAACATGGAAGTTTAGATTTTTCTTTAGATTCAAGTAAACGACATTTGACATAAATGTCTATAATCCTGTTTCCACTTGGTATTAACATATAACCCTAGATTTCCAATACGCTCACATATGCCGACTATAAATATACAGATCATATTTTAATACCAGGTGGAAATTGGGTACATATGCAGTAATTGTTGGTACTGAAGGCGTCAAGCTCACTCATTTTAAAAGGCCCGATTAGTCACGTGTGGATCACACCTGAAGTTAATTCGGGCAACTAGACTGAACCTGGCCTGTCCCAATGAATGTGAATGGCATGCTTTTCTCTTTGCTTGCTCACTGTGTTTTATTTTGATAAAAGAATATTCTCAAATACACCTTTATATTTTGGAAGTGCAGCTTTAATGTGAGCAGATGTTGTGATAAAAACACGGATGTGCTGAAAATTCAACCGCTGTTTTAAGAGACTGCATCCTCATCTTCAATTCTTTTATTATTATTTTTATTTTTTTGGATGGAGAGAAATTACCAACAGGGAATAAACCTGATCCCACCCACACTAAGCTGAACCACCTGACTCTCTCTGTGCACACATGGCATCTTTTTTAAGAGTGCAGATCACTGACTGCTCGTTCTCTGGTGCTTTTTATTCAGGTGTCTCTAACAGTTTGTTGTATGGTGTGCTATTATGAACTGTATATCTGTATTTGGCCAGATGTGTATTAGCATACAGTATCCTAATCAGAGAGTTTAATTTTGTAATAGACAATGTGACTGTAAGTAACACTGCAGGTGACATTAATTGTTGATCTAATGAACGCTAACAAATTATATAATAAAAATGGATCCAATGAAGAAGGAGAAATAAAATGTAATTTTTTTATTGTAGTCTGGACTTTTACTGTTGTTACACGTTGCCTATTGATTTAACTGTATCGCATTAAAAAGGTTTGATATATATTCCATAATCATATAACTCTTTATTAACACTAAAATGTCTGATCAGATATACTGTTGTTGACTTTGCTTTGTTTACTGACACTTTCTGGTATATTTAAGCAGTTTGAATCTTCTAACTAAAGAATTCTTCAGTGGAAAACCTCCAAATTGCAAATGCTGCAGCCTCAACAGGAGTTTGCCTTTACTATCACTGTGTTGCAGGTGTGGTTGGGTTTAGAGTTTATCCTCCTTTGACTGTTTCTAATGGAATACTGGTCTTTGAGAAGTGAAGGGATTCCCTACTGAGTGCCATAAACTGTCTTGTTTGAAACTACCACAAGAGGTCGCCAAAGTAATAAAGTTTCAACACACACACACAGGAGCTTTAATATTTTCTTCCACGCTCTAATCATTAGGAGACACACTTCTTCACAGCTGCAACCTTGGTTAGAATGAAAAATATACTGAAGCAACGTTAAGCTCTTTCGTTTTCAGTTAAGTGCTGTCTAATGGATTCCGTTGATGTTACTTTAAATGTTGCTGTTTAACAAAGGTGCAGGAACTAAACTTTGTTTTTTGTTTTTCTGCAAAAAAAGTATAATTTCCACATTTAAAAGTAATTTACTTCTTCCACTACATTAAAAAATTCCAGAATATGTGAATATACAAATTGCGTTTGTCCATTCTCAGTGTCCACTGGTGGATCTGGTATAAGATACTGGAACAGGATGAACTTACAAACTATTTGTGATGTCACAAATCATCCTCGTAGGCCCCACACCTTAAAATCAGATTTTCAGTGAGCACAGAGAAACTTCCGCAGATGAATGTGAAAACATCTTTCTAGTTTGGAACTCTGCACATCCATCATTCTGTACAGTGAAGTTCAACATTCAACTGTAGGAACAAGAAGACTGATTTTTGAGTGGAGGGGAACTTTAAGTCATGCACAAATACTTTATTGGCAAATCAATACGCTGATATGTGGACACATCTTCATTGAATACATTAAATGACATACGGTAGTTCATTTACAGAGTAACCAGTTAATTCTGAAAGTTTTAGTCTAAAAAATGTTACATTTCAACAACATTTCATACGTTTTAGCTTCTCTAAATGAGTTCGCTGGATGCAGTTCAGTTTCGTGTTAGTCATCGACTGTTTAAATTGCCATAAGCTTCACTGACAATGTTACCCAATGCAGAAATTTCAAGACATTATTACAGGTTTAGTGCAAGATGATTGTGTATGTATATGTTTGTATCAGTTCCATTCTGCCTGTTCTTTCCATTTGTGGCGTTACATTCTGTTTTGCCAGCCAACAATTATTTCTTAAATGATTACTGATCAGTATTGATATTGACTGGAGGAGAAAAGGTGGTGGTTTACCAGCCACAACAACATTTTATCGGCATCTAGCCGGTAGCTGGTACAACCTACAACCATCCTGGAAAAAATGTATTTGTCTTTACATCTCAGTTTAACATAGAAAGAAGTTAAACAATCTGATCACTTTTCTTGTAGGTACAAAACTGAGAGTTTAGAGCTACTGTATAAGGCTTTATCTGTCCTCTAAAGTAGTTCTGACTTTTCTGCCTCCACCAAGTTTCAATTTTAATCAGACTCAAAAATCCCTGTTTTCAATAAATAACACTTTTAAGCTCTAATCGGATGACTAAATTACATAAACATAACCCTAAAGTTCCACTGTCAGTAATTGTCTGTAGCTTCAGATGTGAGGTTTCTTGCTCAGGACTATCCATTGGTGGATGAAGCTGTATATGCACTGAATTCTGGGCCTCTCAAGCTCGGTGGAGACACTGACTGAAAAGAGTATTTGTTTTTTGTTTTTTTATTTTGGGCTACCTATAACAGTAGGCGCCGTAAAGATGCATCATCTTGTTGGGGAATCCAAATGAGCGCACTCCTGCTTCAGGGATGCCTCCACAGCGCTCCCTGGGGTTGCTGATGGGAAACCGTACGCTGCCGTCTTTCAGCCATCCGCCATCACACTGGTCGTATTTTTGGAAGCGCCAGGCCGAGTAAAGCTGGCCGACCAACGCCAACTCAGCTCCCTGACGTTTACATGCATGTTCCGCCTGCTCAAAGGAGAATGACCCTGATATGTAGTAGACAGAGCCTGTGAGAGGAAGAAAGAAAATAAATCCAGAGAACTTAAATCCAGAAACATGGGTTTGTTCAAAATTGAAATTAAAATAAAAAGGTCCCATATTTTTAACTTATTTGTCACATTTTTCTGGCTGCAGTGGAAGTTTCCAGGACAGATTGGGCCAAGTATTTTCCCACAGATAAACCTTTTCATCAAGTCTCTCATCAATAGGTTTTATTGTCGTCTGTCAACCTACTATCAGTCCCACTCTCACACTGTAGCTACTAAAGGTCAGCTTGTAGCACCACAGAGTTGACATTCAGTATCATTACAGGGATTTTGAGCCCCATTAAAAGATGTCACATAGGGCCCCACCACCACAGGCCACACCAGCCCTATCCTCACCTCCAGAACCCAATTGACCCATTCAGAGCATTACATAAGTAGGCAGGCTCTTGTTGTCCAATACTTATTGTGTGATATTTACTGAGTAAGCTATGGAGATATAATACTGTGCATGCAGCATTCTGCATACAGTGGAATTCACTGTTTGATGCAAGACTAATATCCTTTACAAAAAATGTGCTAAAGGTAATCTTTTACAGAAATTTTAATCGTAAAATTCACTTAGCAATAATATATATATATTTAAATATACATTAACCGATCATCTATGTATAGAATCATATAACAAACAGAATAAAATCTGCAGCAGATAAACTCACTCACTTTAATACAGACTGAGTCATTCAATGCTTTAAAACTGTCGAGCATCCAATACAGACTAAAGGCCTGTACAAGCAAATACAAATAGCATACTTTGTCATTTAGTTTGGAGGATTTGTTCGTTAATTATGTTCAATTGTTACAGGAGTGAAGCCATTTCTACGTTACAAACATCTCTGCTCTGGAGAAAATTTGAATCTCACTAAAACAGAACAGAGCAGCAGCTAACATTTAATATAAGAGTTTTTATGGACATTCACATCTGATATTTTTATTTTTATTCATTAAATGTATGTATGTGCCTTGAACAAGGCAATTTGCTTCTGGTTTTCTGTCAGGAAACTAGACTAAACTGTGATCTAAGTCACTTAGAGCTTACCAGACGTCTGCGAGGTGAAGCAGAAAGCGTCAAACCTATCGTGATTCTTATCTTTTGGTCCATAACTGCGGATGCCGGGGAGCAGCTCTCCTCCACAGGCGGGTCGTGGATGAATAATTGGGTAGTGAACGGTCCCATCATCGAGCCAGCCTGCATTGCACCAGTCCAGACCCTCCGTCCATGCTGCCAGAGGAGACAGGCTGATTTAAGATGGCTGATATAGCTGCAGACAACATATTATTGGTCGGAAATAAACACTTTGCACAGATACCTCTGTATAGCTGGTTGTATGAGGCTAATGTGCCATCTTGCTCAGCACAAACCTCCTTAGCCTCATGGAAAGTGAATCTGTAGCGGCCGTTTTTACTCTGATATGGAAACACCACACCTAGAAATAGAAGCCATTTGTGAGTGTTTATGTTTTTACACTTCTACTGTATCCTGTAAATATTTCCCCAAAGGAGTGGATCCCAACCATAAACCCACAGCCCTGATAAAATCCAGGCCCCTATAGGTACATTTCAAACACAAAGGAGGATCTTCTTTAGCTGCTGCACCAGCGATATATATATTAAAAAGTATCCTTTAATATTTTCAGACACCAGATAGTGAGGCATTCCTTCAGTTTTGAGTAGACACTGGGCTCCTCATGACTTCAGTTACCTTCAATCCTCAGAGTTATGGTGACACTCTCATCCTCGATGCCGTTGACTAGTTCGCAGCGATACGTGCCACCATCTTTCAGCTCAAGAAGGCTGAGCTGCAGGGAGGCGTCCATGGTGTGAGCCTTGAGGAGAGAAGCCCGCGTTCCAAGATGTCCGTATAGCTTGAAGGCGTGAGCATTTGATATTAGGATAATGTTCTCCGGGCCTACGTGCTCCGGCTCCAGTTTTGTCCATTTCACTTTGTAATGGCTTGGTTTGGTTCTCAGGATGCACGGCAAGGTGATGTTTCCTCCCCTTCGGCCAATGACCTCAGCATACACCGGCGGCTCAAGGAGGTATTTTAGCTTCTTGGGTGCTGCAGGTGAAACAGGATCCAGCAGGTGTCAGTGCCACGCAGTGTCATTGTTATGTCATGTAATTAATTATTTAGACTACATAATATTTTATGATGCAAGGCAATACAAAGTCAGTATGATTAGAATTTATATAAAAGAATAAAAAGAATGCATGTATATGTAATATTTAATAAACAAGGGGACCTAGTTTCCTGCTCATTGGCTAGTTAGCTTACTCGCTGTTGGGACCTCAGTTTTCAGGTCAGTTTCGGGTTTGTTTGTTTTTAAAATTTCGTTGCGTCTGCAGCAATGCTTCATTAGAGTGTCGAGGTCTCCCCTAGTTTTTCTGCAAGCTGTTCCCAGCAACACGAAAAGGTTCATAGTCACATCTACATAATACCGGCAACATATACACCTCTTTCACACTTTCCCTATGTCAGTGTCTTTATCTATAACATCTGGATGTTTGCTACTGATGCCAACTGCATTATTATGCTACCTGATCTCTCTGCAAGCATTCAGTGTCTTTTGCGTGTTGTTGCAGTCTCAGCATGATAAATCAGACAGCCTGTTGCTATGGCTTCTCACGAGAATGTCACACACAAAACAATATGGAGGGAGTTGTGTGAAGACTAAAATTAAAAAAAGAACAAACCCTGTCTACATTCACACCTCCATACACCTGGACAATCACGATGGTCTGTATTAGAAAGTGACAAATTGTCAATAAATTG